GCCTTGAGGCTTCCCATCAGAATCCATTCCATGCTTAAGCGTTCTATGATAATCATAATGTAATAGAAATAAGACTAAGAGGTAGGTCGATTACTTGCGCCCCAAGTAACTTCGGACTTCTCGTTTATCAAGGATTGTCGTGGATGGGTTAAGTCCACATAAGGTTCTTTTTTATGCCTTGAGGCCAAAGACTTTTAACTAATCAGATTTATATGCCCGAGGGCTTAGGACTTGGATCTGGTTTGAACACTGAAGATATATTCAAATCGGATCCGAGTACTGAGAAAGCCTTTTAATAGTCATCTTGCTAGACATAACTTGAATATAACTGGAAGTATACAACATATTGCTAGGCTAATGAATGAAAAGACAAAAACAGAGAAGGTCGGGCAAGGTTTAACCTTGTCGGGCAAGCCTGGTCGTCTTGCAGGTTCCTATCTTTGTAGTTTATCAAGGGTCTGAAAGCTTTAGAGAGAGAGATTACAAAAGATGAATCGATACTACAACAAGGTTGAACAAGGTAGCAGAGCTATTACAAGGGTTTGAGTGAAGGTTTATCCCGCGAGGGATGAAAGCTTGTCCCGAGAGGGATGAAGGCTTGGGCTGACTACATCTTCGTTTTGAAGGCAAATCTGGCTTTGAGCAGAGTTTGTGCTTACATTTGTTTGTTTGATTGAGTGTCTTTATTCCTGGTTTCTCTTTCTTCTTATATAGATAACTCGGCTTGGTCTCCTGAAGCAGCAACCTTGCCCGAATGCGGTTTGAAGGGTGATGACTCATCAGCTATTTTACATGTACTGCCACCATAAAGTACTTTATGGGCTGTGTAGCTGGTCAGTCTATACCACTTGGCCTTTGGGTAGGTAAGCAAGTGGTCTTCATGAGCTGCACCAAGTCAGAAAAGACCCTTTCCTGTTTTCTGGGCTTTGGCTAGGCTTAGGCCGGGCTCTCCCCTATGCATCCCTTTGGGCCAGCTCCTTTCTTGAGCCCAAAGTTCAAGTTTTTATCCAAACAGAGAGCGAGGAGGAAGAGGAGAAGGAGGAGGAGAACGGGATGCTTGTGTCCTATGGTGGTGGTCTGGATTTTCACGTTTCATTTGTTTTTTTTTTTCAGATTGCTAAGTGTTTAAAGTATGGGTAAGACTAAATTTGTAGATGCTGCGACCTATTTTATCTGAGAAAAAGAGATAGTGCTTCAGAAACAGGAAGAGAGAGATGGAGAGTAGGCTTGTGAAATTTTGTGTGATATTTTTCAACCTTGTGCTTTTATTTGTAGTAAATTAAGGAGGATTCTTTGTCTTGCAAGTAATACAATTCTAATGGGAAAAAAATCTTCTAGTATTCTAAATACAATCTACTAATGATTTACACAAGCATATATGTGCTAGAACTATATTTATAACATTCTCCTTTGAGTGTGTAAATACTCAAGTAGATAACGCATCAGATCGGTAGGCAAATGTAGAAGCAAGTGATGAAGTCGTCTCGTCTAGTCGGTAAAGTAGCGAATGTGAGTCTCAAAACAAACATAATGATGCATAGGTAGTAAAACTCACAAAACCTCCCAAGATCCTTCTCCATCAAATCCTTTAGTTGGAGGAGCAGCGGAATCAGCCATCATATAGAAAATTAAAACAAGAATTGGGAAATGAGGGGTTTGGGGAAGAACAGAACCGGGGAAACTTTAGGATTTTGAGAAAAAAGTATGTGAGGAAAAGAGAGAGTGAATCTGTGATTTTAAAGAACCTGTGGGACCCTTGCGTGACGAAGAATTCGTTGCGCAAAGTACGAAATAATTACTTCACCTTAAAAGCCTGATTGACTAATTTAGAAAAACGTTTTGTGCGCCAAATACTTCGTCACGCAAACCTTTTAGTAAATACTTCACCTTAAATGGGCCACCAACCATTTTAGAATCTTCGTTGTGCAAGATTTTGGCGCCAAATCTTCCCCTACCCGCATTTGTTCTATGCCTTTGTGGGATGAATATTTGGTGTCGTCGTGCAAAGGCTTCTTGCACGACAAAACCTTTCGTCGCTCAGTTTTGCGCAACAAGTCTCTAATTGCATCGTGTAATTTACCTTTGTGTAAATAAATTTGTTGCGTCGCATAAAGTTTCGTCTCGCAAATAGTTTTTGTACTAGCTAGTAGTACATTAATTATGATCTGCATTGTTTCTACTACCGTCCCTTTTTCGGTCAACAACTATTAATTTGTTGTTAATAATTTAGTATAGCTCAGAATAAATGAGAGAATCAAATACATATAAAGAAGGATTAGGTAAACATTGAAAGGAACGCAAAATAGCAATATTTTCATGTGTTGTTTTGCTAGATATATATTGCATGCATATACAACGTACTGATCGAGGCTTGCTTGTAAGTCGGATAAGAGAAGGTTGAGGGTATGAAGCCGAAGCAACCATGTTACCCATCTTAATGACAGTTTGGAAAGAAAGTAGAGTGTGGACCGATCGATGGAGGAGGAAATGATCATTGGCTAATCATAATATTATTTATGGACTGAGTTTCCTTCATCTTTTATCGGCCTTCACATGAGGATCAACAAATTTATTGGAAAATTAAACACTCAAACTATTATCAAATAGGACCATGAGATATTGATGGATGAAATTCCCACCTCACCAAGTAATTTAAGCTCAATGCGTCAACATCGAAACAAAAGTTTAAATTCTTTAATTTCGACTAATGAGACAGTAATTTATTTTGTCTGGAAGGCGATGAATTGAAAAAATGATTTTAAGTGATTGAATATGTAGACTTCGAAACAAAACACAAAAAAATTCAATGCACGTTGATGTGACACTTTATTTTTATTTATTTTCTAGTGTACTCTTAATCTTGTGTGTTTCCAATAAATAAAATACCTCACTAACATTAACTAGTGGTTGATATTTTGGGAAAAGTTTCGTTGACTTTGGCATCAGTGTTGTATAATTTTATTGAATGTTTGTAGGTCCAATCAACCGCAGAGAAGAAAGATCGTGAAATTATAATAATAAGAAGAAGAAGAAGAAAAGAGAATTGGATGGGAAAGAAAAAGGGGAGAGGATGGCTTCCGTTCCTTGTCAATTCAAGCCCGCCCCAATGAGAAGGAGTTTTGTTGTTTTCTCATAAACGGCCAAAACACGTACAGTGCAAGAGGCCTTATCAGCTTGTGTACTATGGAGATATTTCACAAATTATACGGTGTTAGTCCAAAAGCATGTGTAAGAAAACATAGATGAAATCAAGAATTCGGGAACTAAATGAATGGCCTAGAAGGAACAACATCCACTTAAAAATTCCCACTTAAGTTACGTACAAATTTTCTTTCGTTGTTTTTTTAAAGATACATCGATATATTATTGACTTAAAAAAAAAAAGATTACATCATATCTTGAATGCGGAGATTTTGCATAAAATTAAGAGAGTCCTCATACTAAATTAATTTGTTTCCAATAGAAGTGACAAATGAGCTAATCTATGAGTTAACCCATTACAGATTTTCTTTCGTTGTTAGTGTTCTTTTTTATCTCGATAATTAATAGATTAAAATAATAACAATTTTCACCCTCAAGAATCTAAATATACTAGAAAGTATCAAAATATATCCTAGTGAAATCCTTCTCTCCTACCAAAACCTTTTTGTTTTTTTTTCTATATTCATTTTCTTGTCCTTTTTCCTCATATAATATATATATAATATATATATATTATCTTTTTATATTAACACCCCACAAAATGTTGAATACACCACACATTAACATTTTAATATTAATGACTTATTTACTCTACTATGCAATGACAATTTTGACCTTATTAGGTTTAAAAAATAATAAAAAATTTATAATTACACACCAAATCACTTTTAAGGTATTATTTATCTACTCCAACTATCAAAACCCCTCCCACCCTCTATGTTGAATAAAACCCTAAGCAATGAAACTATAAACATGTTGATTGAGAAAAATTATTTTTGATGAATGGAACACGAAATCGGTGTTTCGAAAACTTTGAAATCATTATTATTTTTATTGAAAAACATTCAAATGAACCTGAACATTTTTTCAAATCATTCAATTTGAAATCATTCGGCAAACTAACGTTTAGATGGTTTGAAATCATTCGGCAAAATAAAAAATGAGTGTTATAAGATTTGAGAAATGTGAGGTGTATAAAAAATGTGGGGTGCATGTGGAAAATATAAAAGGTATTATGAGGAAGGAAGTGGGGTGCATTAAAATAATTTTTAACTTAAAAAGTAAATGTAAGGTATATTAAGTACGTAAAATTTATTCAACAATTTGTGAAGTAATAATATAATAAAACCATATATATTTATCATTGAGCAAGCACAATAATAGAGGGCCTAGCTTTCAGTGATCTGTAAAATTGAGCAGCAGGCTTTTGGTACTATGAATTCTTTGGTAAGAGAGCATGCCAAGAGTCTCAACAAAGCAAAGAGACGAACCCTACAGTACTACAAATACTCATCATCTACGTCCTCACAACACTGCTGTGACAGAGACAAACCCTACAGTACTACAAAATACTCATCATCTACGTCCTACATACACGACACTGCTCCCAAACAAAAAAGTACAATATATTGGATAAAACTCTTGTAAAAAAATATATTATATATTGGATAAAACTGAAAATAATTAATTATGTTAGAATAGAATTAATTAAAGCTCAGCTTAATATTTAATTATAAAAAATAAAATAAAAGCAAAAAACAAAAATTGCTAACAGGTGTTAACGGGTGACCCATAAACTTCACGGATTGAATTTGGATGACTTGTTAGCTTAACGGATTGAGTTTAGACGATTCATTTACTTAACAGGTCGGTTTAAAACTGATATCTTGAAATGATCAATTGATTGTAGTTCATGCAGGAAAAACAATTATGCAGGAAACCTAGATAGTATAGCTAGTTCATAATGCATAAACCAATTTATGACTTTGGGTTTTTATTTCTGACCGAAATATAGAGACTGGACCAAAATACAGCGATTTATAGAGAGAGGCCTAAAGTCATTGGAAAACAAGCTTGCCTTATTATTTTAACAACTTAATTTCTGAAAACACAAATTAAGAACACACAAAGGAACCCAAAAAACAATTAACACTCTAGATTGAAAGCAAGTACTAAATATGATATAATTTACATAATTGCTTCTATAAACACTTAAAGCCCTTTTATTTTTATGAGGCTGCTGATCGTTAAGGCTTAACATTTTTGGTATCGCTCATACTCTCTAAATTAATATTCTTAACACATGACATCCTTGAGAAGCTTGTACCTGCGCGTAGCGGTTCTTGGTGACGGCACGCCACTGCTAGGGTGGTTCTTGGTGTTAACCTTCTCGCCGCTACCACTCTCTTGATTATGATCGTGTTGCTTAATCTTGTGATCCCCAGAGTATTCTGACCGGCTCGAGACACCTCCAGTCTCGACTCCTTCTGCGGCCGCCATACTCGATTTCTTGGAAGAGCTACCGTGCCTTGTTGTGCTCCTTTCTTGATCACTTAAGCACCAATCACACAGTTCAGTTGGCTCCGCATATTCGCTATAATAATTGCTACAATACCTAGAATTGAACAACTGTCGTCATAAGATTTGACCAGATTGATTGGGAAACTGATTCATAAGCACATAAATGTGTAACAAATTCACATCAGTATCATGCTTAATTAGTAAATGAGTTTTCTTTGTTATTGTCAGCAGTAATTGAAATATTGACATAATAGGACTAGGCATGGTTATAGCATTATAAACATGTTTATACAGATACATGGTGATGATTGATGATGGCATAGGATGCATGCCCCACGGTTTTATCATGGTACCATGACCATGACCGTCAGATATCATATACATGGTACCAATAATAATTAGGTAGGTTTGGTGGGTGTTTTATGGAGATGGGTCTATTCAGTTATCAGTACCTATCGCACCTATGAACCATGATCGTGATCATGATGATACAAATATATATATATATATATATATATATATATATATGATGTCTTTACATACATAGTAAATAGCATATCGTCATGTTATGTATGATGCATGGCATATATATATATATGATGGTGATGATGTTTATGATGATGGTTATGGTGAAAATACATACGAGTGTTGAAAGCGATTGCGGCATTTGTTGCAGCGGAAGAGCTTGTCAGGAAAACCCACGTCACCACACATGCAGCAAACAGTTTCAAGATCCACCATCTTCGTTCTTGAAGCAATTCAGGAGCTACACAGAATATTATCTGTATATATCAATTATCAAGAAACACAATCCAAAACCTAAAACCAAGAGAGTCAGAGAGATAACTACAAGAAGAGAGAGAGAGAGAGAGAGAGAGAGAGAGAGAGTTAAATATAAAGAGATATACGAGGACTAATGGTTTTGGAGTCGGTGTGTAAATTCCATATTTATACATGAAGTTAATAAAAATTCTCATATTTATTTATAATATTGGAGAGATATACACAGGTAGACCACAGGTTGCTTGCAGTCGTTTTCAGTTAGGGCAGAGGGGGAAAGAAGAGAGTTGAACCTTAAAATAGAGGTGGGGAAATGACACTTCTGCCCCCATGCGTTGAGCTTTGCTTCTTAATTCCGTTTCCCATCTTTTCTTTTGCATTTTTAAAAAGAAAAAATAATGAAAAATGCTTTGAAATTTTGAATTTCAACAAAAAAATCATCTAATAACTTTATTTAATGATAAGAACAAGAAAATAAAAAATAAAAAAATTATCAAAGACGCGTGCAGTCTCCTTTGCCACTGCATCTTCCAGCTGCTTCTTTTTCCAATATTCATTAATTGGGGTCCAGAAATTGCCTTGCCGGAAGCAACTCCAATCATGGTTGCTCCAATATTTATTTTACTGCACACACCTCTATATATTTATACTATATGTATATGTATATGTATATATATATATACACACACACACACATACATACACACCCTACTACATATTATATATTATGGACATATGAGAGCAGTTCCACCGGGGAACTGATAGGCCAGCATCCAGCCAAAAAACCAGCCTGGCACCCAGGCTATCCACTCCAGCGGCGCATTTTGAACGGCACTCAGCACAAGCCAGGCAAGAGACCGGCCTAAAATCGACAGAGGTAGGAGACGGCTCATCTGACGCCATGCTAACGTCATGGCTACCGAGGAGGAGCCCATGCGAGGCAGCCGAGGAGGAGGGTCGGGTTTTGGCAGGTTCAGCGTCCACAGCTTCTTCTCGTACCGGATCTTTGTCTTGGCTATGTTCTCTCTCCTCTTCATTGCCACGCTCTTTGTTATCCTCACCACAAATCCTTCAACTCCGCACCACGACTCCGTATGTATTGCCCCCTCTTCCCTAAATCCATTTTCTCCCAATTATTTATTTAATTAATCAAGGTTTAGATTGAAATTTCGAAGCTTTAGCAAAACCCAGATGTTAATTTCACTGATTAATCATAACCCACGTTCTAATTTTCACATCTAAACAAATCCTAGATTGGGAAAAAAAAAATGGGAAGAAGAAGAAGAAGAAGACGGGAGTCAGAGAGAAGAAGAAGAAGGGAGTCAGAGAGAAGAAGTCAGAAATTAAAAAATTAAATCGGGTTGCAGTGAGTTTCTGGCGAAGGGATGGGAAGTTGCAGTGAGTTTTGGGGAGTTTTGGGGTTGGAGCAGTGAGTTTTGGGGTTGGGATTCAACCACACCTAAGTCGGGTTTTTTGTGTGTGGAAGGAATGGGAAGTTGTAGAAGATGGAAGGGAAGAAGAAGTCAAAAAGTAAAAATTAAATTATTATTTTATAATAAAAAATAATAATATTTTAATAAATTGACCAGCCTATTTTTTATTTAAGGATGGAGATGCTTTGGTCTATTACTGTTTATTGGAGTCTATTACTGTTCATTTTTTATTTAGGGATGGAGATGCTAGGTGCTAGCGCAAAGTCTTTAAGGGTGGACTTGCTTTGAAGCACTTAAGAGTTTTTCATTAAAATTTAAGTCTTTTTCATTAAATAAAGTTATAACATAGTTTTTTTTATTAAAATAAACTTAGCCCAAACCCTTTTCATGTAAGTTTGTGTGCTATCCACACTCCATTTTACTTCATACACCTCTTAATTTACGGCCGTCTGAACCGATTGAATTAAAGAAGGTCAAATAACAGAAATTAACAAGGGGTGTGTAAGAAGTAAAAATGGATGTGTGGATAGCACAACCCTTTTAAAAATGTGGTACTGTCTATATATCACTTTTTACCTTCCACACATTTTTTTATTAATATTTGTCATATAATCATCTTCAATTCATTCGATGACTAAAAATTAAGAAATGTGTGTAAAAGCAAACAAGGGGTATGTAAAGAGCACCACCTTTTTTACAAAATAATATTGCAGACTTTTTAGCCAAAATGATCCCTAAAATTTTCATAATTCAAACTATTAATATTCTTGCACTTCACATCTTGATGTGGTTTACATTTTTTATATGGGCAAGGCACACAACTTGTTAGTTTTCGTTGAATACAGGCGGTGCATGAAGTATTCCTTCATGAATACTCAAAATACACGATGGGGGAACATACACAAACTTTTGCAATTTTAGTTCATAATTTAAGTTTAGGTTATTATGGTTAAGATTCTATTAGTCTAGTATTAAACTAACAAAAATGCTACAATTATCACATTTCTTGTACCATATTTGTACAACCTCTCTCATAGAGATGAGACGCACATATATTGGTGTGTCCTATCTCTATTAAAGAGGTGGTACAAATGTGATATGAAAAATGTGATTACTCTTATTGAAATTGGTACCAAGTGGAATAACTTGCAATTAAAATTATATATATGCTTGACTGACTAGTCAGCAATACTAGTCAATTAAGACCAGGTTTGTTAGTTAACCAGTAGCAGAAATAATCAATTTAAAAACTAGGTTTATTGAAATGATCCTAGTTAACTAAGGTCCAGTTTAGTGTAAATGCAAACCTTGATAAGCTTAGTTGCATGGATAAGTCTATGTACAAGTCAAGGTGATCATGTATTATATGCAATAAGTAAGATATAAATCCAAGAAAAGCAATAATCAACACATGATGTTTTTTGCCAGAAAAACCCACCTCTGGGTTAAAAAACCGATGACTCTCCATTAAGTCCAATCCACTAATATAAACAATATTCTTACAAAGTAACCACACCAGTTCAATTCTTAGATCTTAATCTAATACATGACATACTGCTAGGTGTCACTCATGGTTTGTGGAAGCCTTAAAGATGAGTAATCACTAAAGGGAGAAATGAAAGTATGTTTCAATTCACAATCGATTTGAAGAGTTCTAATCGCCCACTGCCTCGCTAAAAGGAACCTAATGGATTGTACACCATGTAAGGTAGAGATTGAAGAAACAATGGAGATGAGTAATGATAATTAAATGGTTTAATTATTTATGGCTAGGATTAATTAATATGTTAATTAATCAAACGAATAAGTTCGTTATAAACCTTGGGTTAGTTTTGGGCCTCAAGGCCCAATGGGCTTCGAATGTCAAGCCCATTTACTTAAGTTGTATGACAACTTAAGGAATAAAGATTCAAGAGGGCCCAAATAGCCCAAAGACCATAGAAAGCCGGCCATATTGATGAAATAGGGTTTTGGCTATTTTTTGTCACTGAAGTGAAGTAACTATATAAAGAACTTTATAGCCAAAATTCATTAGGTTTTCTAAGGGAAGAGAAGAGAACACAAAAGCTCTCTCTTCTCTAATGAAGGCCGGCCAACCTAGAGGAATATAGCTAGCAATCTTCTTTACTCTAGGTCACTCATCTCTTCATTAATGCTCTCCTTGGTGTGGAGACTTAAAGTTTCTCTATTTTGGGAACTTGGAGAATCCATTCATCCATCCTCCTCCAAGAAATCCATAGAGCTAAGAAGTAAGGAATGAAGACCCTCTCTCTTGGGTGATTAGTATTTGCTTATGCAAAGAGGAATCAACAAAGGTAAAAGATTTCTCAACTCACTTTGTTTTGAGTTGAGTCTTGGTTCACCATAACTACTACGCTTTGAATTTCATGGATAAATTTTTGTTTTTGAGTGCATACAAGCATGATTCCACCTTTTAATTGTTAATTGCATGCATAGATGTTGCTCAAATAAACTTGTTTCCACAAATATTTTCTTCAGAAACTAGAAGAACGCTATGACTTGGTAATTGGGGATTGGCATAGGAACTACAGAGGCTCTCATGGGTTCCAGCTATGTGAAAAGATGAAAATGCTTAGCCGAAACCTATAAACATGGTATAAAATGAGAGGTCAGAACTAAAAAAAAAACTATAGATCGCTTGAAGGAAGAAATTATGAGGGTTTACCAGACTAAGAGTTTTGGCATGAATGAGGTGCACCTAAAGGAAAAAAAGCTAAAGAAAGTGCATAAGGAGGAAGAAGTATAGTGGAAAATCAAGTTAATGGTACAATGGCTTAATGAAGGGGACAAGAATACAAAGTTCTTTTATGCGCAAACGATGAAACGGATGAGCTTTAACCAGATTCGAGGCTTGGAGAATTTGAATGAGGAGTAGCTGGAGGATGATCACGGGATTCGGTCGATTGCGGATATCACATTGGTGACATCTTAAGGTGTGTGGATTCTCGAATGACATTTGAGAACAATAAGATGTTGACGGTCTCGATGATGGTTAGTGAAATTCAGGAAGCAGTCTTTCATATTCCCCCCATGAGAGCTCCGGCACCAGATGGGTTTCCCGATAGCTTTTATCAGGATCACTAGGAGATGCTGAGGGAAGATGTGGTAAGTACCGTCAAGGCGTTTTGGCATTTGGGCAAACTCTTAAGGAAACTAAACCACACCAACTTGGTGCTCATTCCAAAGGTGGCATGCCCAAAGAACATAACGCAGTACTGGCCTATTGCTTTATGTAATGTTAGCTACAAGATACTTGCCAAGGTGATTATGAATAGACTAAAGAAGGTGATGCCTAAGGTGATAAGCGATAATCAATCAGCTTTTGTGGCGGGAAAGCACATCCAGGACAACATCCTTGTTGTGTATGAAATCTTGCATTCCCTTATGCATCAACCCAAGAAGGACAATGCAAGTATGGCAATAAAGTTAGATATGGTGAAAGCATATGATTGAGTACAATGGAGTTTTCTTATAACTGTGATGACCAAAATGGGGTTTGCCCTATTATTTTGTAGATGGGTTTTTTAATGCATATTCACTGTTTCCTTTAGCATACTTATGAACGGGAACCCTACGGGGTATATTGTGCCAAAGAAGGGACTGAGGTAGGGTGACCCTATTTCCCCTTACATATTCCTTTTGTGTATCGATAGGTTCTCTGCCCTTATTCAAAATGGGTTAGAGAGATGATCTTTATATGAGTTTAGAGTGTCGGATA